CAACCCTATATCATTTTAGACAAATGGTTGTCCAACCTCATCTTAAAAATCTCCAGTGTTTTTAACACTGTGGCCCAAAAGGCAAGCCAACTCATGAAAGAGACAGTACTTTTCAAGGCTTTTGCTTCCTCCCCTTCCTTTTACTGATTATATAACCTAGGTAAGATTCTTAACCTTTCCATGCTTCAGTTTATTCATGTTTACCCAACTGGTGGAGCTGGGGTGGCATAAATATACATAGCAACAGCAGTAGCACCTAGACTTATATACAGCTCCATAGTGTTTTACAGCCCTCTCTAAGTGATTTACAGAGTCATCCTATTGCCCCCAACAATCTGGATCCTCATTTTACCGACCTCGGAAGGATGGAAGGCTGAGTTAACCTTAAGCCAGTCAGGATTAAATTGCTGGCAGTTGGCAGAGTTAGCCTACAATACTGCATTCTAACCACTGTGCCACCACATGAGACATAAAGAATGATGGTTTCATCAGCTTGAAGTATCACAGGGCAGCAATATGCTCACTAAAAATCTTTCTTTTGAGAATTGAGATGTGGAAAATGTGTATCTTCTACACCAGTGGTTCCCAAACTTTTTCAGTCCACCGCCCCCTTGGTGCTACAAACTCATCCTCGGTGCCCCCCACCCAGGGGTGGGATTCACATTTCTGTTGCATGGCCTAATTTGAGGGTGTGGCTTGCTGGTCACGTGACTGGTGGGCGTGCTTTGCTGGTCATGTGACTGGCTGGCGTGGCTTGCTGGCTGGGCATGGCTTGCTGGTCACATGGCCGGGTAGGTGTGGTTTGGTGGTCATGTGACTGAGTGGGCATGGCCAGGTGACTGGCAAACAAGTGGTCCTCACTTAATGGCCGGTTGTTTAGCAAATGTTCTAATTTATGACTGGCCTCCCAGAGATACTTGACCTGTTTTTGGAGTTTTAACAGCCATGCACACACATACACACACACTCCCTTCTAACCCTTCTAACCCTGCTGGAGCAGGTCATTGGACTAGAATCGGCAAAGCATCTCTGACTAGATTCTAGTAGTGAATAAAATCTAATCAGAGATGCTTTGCCGAATCTTGTTGATTTGTTTTATTTGTATCTATTTTATGTTGCTGAATTGCACTGATATGTGTGTCTCTTCTTGTGCACAACCCAGAAGCTTTTGTGATTCTTTGCAGCTAAAATTACCCACCTCTAGCTTTGCTCTACTTTTCAAACATGTTGCCATTGCCACGTTCTAGATGCCGGCCCCGCAGGTCCACCCCATTGAGCCCACTGCACTGGAGGGACCTGCCCAAGCAAGTCAAGTCAACGGGGTGAGCCTGAGAGAGAGAAAGAGAGAGAGAGAAAAGAGAGAGAGAGAGAAGAAAGAAAAGAAAGAGAAAAGGGAAAGAAAGAAAAAGGGACAAAGAAAGAGGGGGGGAATGGAAGGAAGATACAGAAAGAAAAAGAAATAAAGAAGGAGGGAGGAGAAAGATAATGAGATATCTATTCTAGTCCAATCACCTGCTCCAACAGGGTTAAAAGGGAGTGTGTGTGTGTATGTGTTCTCCTTGTAATTTACCAGCACATTTTGGTTTTGCCTTCTTCAGAATTTGCATGGTAATACATTGGGGAAAAGTAATTTTTAGGGTGGAGATCTGGTCCGATGGATCCTGTTTAAAGCCTCAACAAAATGTGAGAGCTTCCTGATAGTCTTGACCATGTTTCGTCCAGAAAATCTTTAATAGAAGCCAAAGATGTTTCAATGTGCTGGCAAAGATTTTTCAATGTGGAAAAGGGCCTCAGTCTAAACTAGGCCTCATTTCAATCAGATGCATCAAGTTTCTCTCTCTCTCTCTCTCTCCCCCTCCCTCCCTCCCAGACTGGCTTTGCTCTACTTTCCCGATGTGCCTGCGGGGCTGGCGCTTCGAACATGGATGGATGGATGTAGAGAGAGGTAGGTAGGTAGGTAGGTAAGTAGGTAGATCTATATTGGTAGATAGATAGGTAGGTAGGCAGGCAGACCTTTTGGATGAATGTATGGATAGGTAGGTAGATAGACAGATTGGGTAGATAAGTAGGTAGGTAGGTAGGTAGATATATCTATATTGGTAGATAGGTAGGTAGGTAGGCAGGCAAGCAGGCAGGTAGGTAGGTAGGCAGGAAGGCAGACAGACAGACAGACCTTTTGGATGGATGGATGGATAGACAGACAGACAGACAGACAGAATGAGACAGCAGCAGCACTTTGGGAAAGTAGAGCAAAGCCAGAGTGGGAACTGAAGTCCATACAAGTTGCCAAGGTGGAGAAACACGGGCTGAATATATCAACCCAGCCATTCTGGTTAGAGTTTAGCATGCTGTTTGATTCCAGCTTAGCCAATAAACCATGGCTAAGATCTTCCTGCTCCTTAATGCAGCTGCCCCTCTGCCCCTTCTCCAGCCCTCTGCCCCAGTTCTTTCTTTGGCATCCCATTTTGCAATGCCCCGCTTGGGAGGAGGAAGCCCAGATTGGTGGAGGCGGAGGGAACGATCACTTGGAAAGTAAGTAAGCAAGCAAGCAAGCAAGCACAGGGCTCGGTTGGAAGAACCGGGCTGCAGAGGGAGGCTAGGTTCTAGTTCCGGGCCGACCACGTAGAGCCGAACCGAGCCACGCGCCTTAGAGAGCCGCAGCTGCACACACCCGCATCCTGCACGCAAGCCCGGCTGGCTGGAGAGGCAGAGGCAGAGGCCGGGCGGGCACTGCGTGCTCCCTTGTTCTCCTCTGGGGAAGGGGGCCCTAACGCCAGACCACCCACCCCTTCCACTGTGCACCTTGAGAGGGTTTTGCTTTCGGGCCTTCTGGTGCACCTCCGCTGCTTCCACTGGAGAGGGCAGCCTGCAAGCTAAGGTGCCCCCTTTCCACCATCTCCCACCTCCCTCCCCCAGGCTTGGCAAGGCTTGCCACACGCGGGTTCCGGATTCGAGGCGCCGGCTACGGAGCGATGAAACAGTCAATGGGCTGCGGGGCCGGCAGTCAGTGAGCCTGCGGGGCCGGCACCTCAAATGCCCCCTGCCACCTCTCAGCACCCCCCCTGCCGGCCCCCTTGCCTCTTAGCCCCCCCCCCAGGCATCCCACCGCCCCCCAGGGGCCGGTACTGCCCACTTTGGGAACCACTGTTCTACACTGAGCTCTAATTGGGAGACCACTGTAATCTAGTAAAATAGGGTCTCCAATCCAAAAGCTTGAAGCCTTGGCACAACCAACTTAAATTATATTTATTTAAAATATGCCCAGGAATATACACATGCACAAAATGGATAGTGAAACACAAAACCCTGAACAGGAGGAGGAAAAAAATAGTTTCTACTGTCTACATTCCTTTCAGAAACAAAAGACTCCAACCTCAGCCAAAGAGCCACTGTAATCACAGCTGTGACATTATGTTAATTCTTCTCTGCCCCATAACCTACTGTTTATATCCTGCTGCAACGTGAAAATGTTACATGTGCAATATCCTAAATAAAGAGACAAGTTGCCTCTGTTCCCCTAAATCATGCAGTCTAGTTAGAAGCATATCGGTTTTCTTAATAGAGAAAACTGAATAAAAAGGTAATAGTTTTTTTTCCTCAAAAGTCTTCGTTATATTACTTAATTAAGACAGTATTAGCATTAACTAACATATTGACTACTGTGAAGACAATAGTAATTTTAAAATATTTACTAGTTTCTCAAAATATAAAATACAGAAGTACAAAGAAAAATTAAAATAAGGGGAAAATAAGGGAGGAAAAGGGGAAGAGAAATAAATATACAGACAAAAAAAGAACATTAACTTCTGATTCCTTTTGATGCAGTAGAATAAGGTACCAACATAAAACCTCAACTTTTTTCTTTTATATAATCCTATATAATAGTCATTTCTATAACAGAAAACCTATCTAATCAGCAAAACCTAAAATCAAAGTTTCATTTTTTCCACCTCAAGCACAAAGTCCGAAAGTGGTTTCCAAGCAGAAACAAAATGGTGTGTTTTTGTCTTTAATTGACAATAGTACTCACCAAGAGAAAATTACTTAGTGTTTAAGCTCCAAAAAATGAACAGGAATTTATTTTATTTGTTAAATGTTTATGCTACCCATCACTCCTACAAGGTGACTCTGGATGGCTTGCAAGTTATAAAACAAGTAAAATAATTAGCTGAAGCAGAATTAGCTGAAGCAGTGAGACTTAAATATAAATACGCTCTATGAACTGAAATTCACATTTAAAGTTGGGAATAGATATTTGAGACCCTGGGCAGTTCTTTATGCTCCTAACCAGGCTTCACTAGGCAAAATAAATATGCTTTTACACGGAGGAAGTTGTAGTATATAATTTATTAAATGTAGCTGTTTTCTAAGTCTATGTTTTCAATCTGATGTAGCACTTATCTGAACTTCTGAAATAACAAGCAAAAATTTCACGTGAGGTAGGCTTCCTAATTTTACCTGAAAACAACTTTGAATTGATTTTAAATATTTACTTGAATTGTTTGATGGCATTTAAGGATCAGCAATGTGTCCCTATGGGAGAGAATCATTTTTCTTTTCACTGTTTGCTTTTAATAAAATACCCAAGATATAAAGGCAGTTCTGATCAATAGGATCAAAACAAGTCAGAGAGGGCTGAACTGGCCAGCATTTTGGGATGTTGTAATAAACCTGCAATGTGCAAAATCTGCTGCACAGAAATTAGATTAGAAACCTAAAGACCATACATAGCTGCTATCAAATGTAAAATGTCCAATGGCCAAAGCAGAGGCTCAAATATTTTTTTTAAAAAAAACTTTGGCTTCACATTGCTGTTTTCTACCACTCATGTTCAACACAACCCCTTTCCTTTGCTATTAAAAGAGTTTGGTTTTTGCATTCTTCCTCTCCTCCCCGCTCCATAAGCTCTTCCTGCCTTCTGCTTTGGCAATCTGTCACTGGATTCCCTTGGACGGTGTATGTTAACACGTTGCACGTTGCAGCCTACAAAACATACTTACTCGGAGTCCTTGCTGTTGTTGGCATTCATAGAGCTGGTGAGTTCCTCATCTTGGCTCAGAACCTGGATCCCTAAGGACTTGATAGCTCGCATCAGAAGAGCTTCCACTGCTTCGACGGAGAGTTTCTCAAGAACGATAACGCGGCACCGACTCAGCAGCGCTGAATTGACCTGGAAGGAAGGATTTTCTGTTGTTGCCCCAATCAGGGTTATGGTTCCACACTCAACGTGAGGAAGAAAAGTGTCCTGAACATGGGAGGAAAACAAACAATTGGCTGCAGTCAATAACAATCGCAGACATCCCACGTGAGTATATTAATAGCTCGTCTGCTTAGAAAGGTTAACCGCTTTGTTAATAGTTTGTGTTGCAGACAATAACCTCTGCCCTCATTACCACACCAAGCTAAACATTAAAACTTTGTGTGGAAAGCATCTGGAGTTTTAGAACTTTAGCTTTGGTGCCTACACATCTAATAAAGTGGTTCATTCACTGTAACTGGGTTCATTTCTACAACGCCACAAGAACCTTGATCATGCAGGATGCTGAAGACTGTATGTTTTTGTAACATAGGTTTCATTGTTTTGGCAAAACTAAGGGTGTGATGGTAAATCTCAGTCAGTCTTGATTTCCAAAAGGATCATTCAAAGACTGTAAAGCACCAGGTACATTTGGATATAATATATAATACAGTGAATGTTTGGAAATGTTACCATAGCCTAGTTTCACTGCAACCCACTCCCTATTTAATGTAATTATTTTAATAGAATATAATTACTTAATATGATTCTTTAATATACATTCTTTGTGTTTATCTCCAGTCTCCAAATCTCCCTATGTGGCCATTTGATGATAATAATCAACCAATTCATCTCCAAAACGTTCTAGCATTCTAATTTAGTTGTGAAACTACAATAATGTAAAAATTACAAGCCAAAAAACATTTTTTTTTTACTCATGAACAAACAAAGTAAAGATAGCCTTAATGCTCTGACTGTCTCTTTATAACCTTGCTTGGCTAGATAAGAAGTTTCTGCTTCTTGCTAGTGGGGTAGGAAGATATATTAAAAATGGAAGCGGTTGCCAAATTCTCAATCCCAAACTTGCTTTTTAAATAGACTGCAATAATATTATATCTTAATACGGCAATCGGCATCAATGTGGTAACCAAGTATCAGCATTGATTTTTAATGGCGATTAAAATGGGTTTCTAAAGTCGAGACAAAATACATGTAACCATGCATTATGCCAGCATGATATAATAGATCAAGTGTAGAGACTTGAACTGGGGAGACCTTGGCACAAAGCTCTGCTTACTAAGTGACCTTGGGCCAGGCACTCTCTCACATCTTGTTCTGCTTCAGAAGGCAAATATAGAAAAACTGGATAATTCTCTAAACAGATTTCCAGAGGAAAGGTGTATCACAATCGTTCAGAGTGTAACCATTGCTCAAGCACATTCCCTTAAGGACTTCACTGCAATACCCTAGTATTCTGACTGCATATAGAAAAAGGAATACCTGTTGGGACTTATTGAAACGGTGTATCTCATCTATAAATAGGATAGTCTTCCTCTTGCAGAGTCTCTTTTCATTTTGGGCTTGAGAAATTACATCTCGGACATCACTGGTTTTGGCACTTGTGGCTGACAGTGTCACAAACCGTGTTCCGTTCTTCTTACTGCTGCTGGCTATGATATGTGCCAAGCTCGTCTGAAACGAAGAAGAAGAAAAAAGGCAAGCATACTGATTTTGTTCTGAAAACAGAAAATAACCTGTGTGAAAACATATGGACGTGAGGGAAATATTGGGATAAAAACATAGCAAACACACACACACACACATACACACATTCATTCCCTTCCAATGGAAAGGGGGTTACTTAAATGGAAAACCTAAACTATTTAAAGCTGAAAAAAGAATGATCATCCAGACAGGAGGTTGAGTGTGGAGGAAAACAGATCTCCTACCCCCTGGCTGGGATCCAAGAGCTATTTTAGCCCTTGGACATGCTCAGTAGGGTTCCTGACAGCAGGTTCTCACTGAATATGTTAATCTGAAAAAGGGATGGGTTGCTTTTAGCTATTTCTTTCAGACATCAATAAGAAACACAATATATCTAATTTATTCACTGCAGGTATTTTTTTAAAACTTATTAAAGGGGGAGTTATGGTATCCTCTTTGATTTGCCCTCTTGATAGGACACCATAGCTTACAACAGTGATTTACTTCTGGGTCTTTTACCTGTCTTTGTTTCAGTAGCCCTTTCTGACCCACAGCTATAAGGCCTGCCAGTTACTGAATAGTTTTGCAATCTGCACATTCAGACAGAAAGACTATGTAGTGCTATTCTTGTGGACTAGTTACGTACATCTGCAAAACTATGTTGGATTTCTAAAGTGGGTAATAATTTTCAAAGTATTAGCCAGTACAACCCTTAACATATTACAGGTGCTCCTTCAGTGACCGTTTTAACGTTGCAATGATGTGCAACAAGGAGGACTTACAACTTGCCCTCTGAGTTCTGCTCATCACGGCATCCCCAGGGTCACATGATCAGAGTTTCCAATGTTCCGTGCTGAATTTCCGTAGTCAATGGGGAAGCCAGCAGGAAGCTGGAAATCGCAGTCACATAAGGTCTTTGCTTAATGGCCCACACAATTCACACTTAATGGCAACCAAGACTGCCCGAATTGCCTTCACACTTTTTATGACTGAATTGCTTAGCGATGACAACCCAGTCTCAATGGCTATTGTAACCCTAAGACCGCCTGCATGTAGTAAAAATACAGTATAAAGAATAAAAATGCTTGCCAAAACACACACCTTTTCATTAGTTTGTTAATGTCAGTTACAAATTTTACTAGAATTAAACTGTTGGTCGCATTTGACAAAAACCCCTAAACTTTTTTTCTTGATGTAACCTCATTCTCTGAGAGAGAAAAGCATGGATTTCACAAAACAATAAGTAACATGTCTATATTGCATGTAAGTGAATAAAGAAGTAAAGACTTGTAAACACCATAAGTCTGCAAATATTTTAGTGTTTTGCAGATGTTTGAATGGAGGATGAAATAATAAAAGGAGAATATTTGTAGCTCAGAGTTGAAATGAGGAGCCCTTGGTACTCTCTGAGCTTGGTTGTTTTCTTGCAGAAGTTTCATTACCCAAACTAGATAACAACATCTGTACTGCACTGATGAATGGTAGTAAACTATGAGTAGTGAAACATCTCAAGAAGACAACCAAGCTCAGAGAGCATGGCGGGTGAAACACAATAATTTGCCTATATACTTGCAATGGGTTTATGGCAGTGATGGGATTCATTTTTTTTTTTTACTACTGGTTCTGTGGGTGTGGCTTGATGGGCGTGGCAGGGGAAGGATACTGTAAAATCTTCAGTCAGAGGTGGTATTAGCCGGTTCTCGGAACTATTCAAAATTTCCGCTACCGGTTCTCCAGAACTGGTCAGAACCTGCTGAATACCATCTCTAGTTTATGGCAAAGACAAAATGTCAAAGCAGGAATATAATAGTCTTTCTTTCTCAGCTCCACCCCTTTTTTCTTATCACCTGCCAGAAGCAAGACTAACACTCAAAAAGTTGAAAAATGGAATGCATCCTAACATTTTCCAATCGTGGGACTCTGATGGGAGTTTTTTTTTTTCCTTAAGGGAAGCCATGGCTGCTCCATTCAATAATATCTACTCAAGTCATCCTGCAAAATAATAATAATAATAATAATAATCCCCCAAAAGTAACAATAGCATACTGGGTTGGTTCTCTTACTCTTGTAAGGCAAAAGTAAAAATAAAACAATGACAGGAGGAGGAGAAGAACACTGCTTAGGAAATAATAGATGAAATGTGGGTGGAATTTGGGAAGCAACTGTACATTTCACTTAGCCCTATATTAGTTGTGCTGGCTTAGAACAGCTCCAAGGTTTCAGGCACAGGTGTTTTCCGCATGTGGCTGTAAATGTTGGGATTTACTTTGGAGTTTTAGAATTTCCACTGGGCAATGGATAGCAAGGATCATTAGAGAAGAAAGCATTCCCAGAAGCAAGAGGGAATAGAAAAGCTTAAAGATAGTCCACAAATGGAGCACTGAAAAGAGCGGCCAGCCCTCCCCCCTGACATTTAGCCATCCCCGCAGATACTCTCTGGGTTCAGAACTTCATACTAGGTATCCTCCTCCTTGTTTTCACCCTATTTTGCTTATTTTACCCTTCTATCTATATGAGAGGATATTTTCAAATTCTTCCTGCTCCCTATTCAGAAAATCTAGGCAGATCCTGATTTTCCTTTGATGCAGTGACACAGAGGGAAATGGCAGGAGGACAAGTAGTGTGTCTGGGCTCCAACAAATCCACCCTCATTCAAATCAAAAGTCTCTAGCCACATCTCAGAGAAAAGTAAATTGATTTATTAGGAGTGGCCATGTTGGCATGAGCTAGATGCAGCTGATACTAAATTACATCATACATTTCCCCCTTGACCTTGGTCTTCCCCCTACCCCCTGGATGTGACTTTTCCAATGGTACACATCCATCTCCAAGAGTCATCCATCATGCTCTCCAATAACCTTCTTATGTTCTGACAACTTTGGGCTACTGGGCTGATTATCTAGGCATTTAAGGAATGCCTTGTTTTCCCCCACTCCCTTTTTCTGGCAGCTAAAAAGACCAAAGGAGTATCTTTTTAGTTGACATAGCGAAGTAACAAGCAAAAAGACTTCCAGGAGGGTCAACCATCACTTGGCAATACTGCATATTCTTTGCTTGGGAAAAGAGCTACAGTCAATTCCTGGCAGCTCCAGATTCCTTCTAGAGCTGCTAACAATTGACATAATCAAGCCTTCCTTGACACGGTTTTCCTCAGAGATGCTGAAATACATTTCGCAACATCTCCAACCTTATTAAGCTAAATAACCTAGCTTTGCCGCAGCTTTGTTTGTTCTATCATTAGTAGGCACATCGAACTCTTGCTTCCAAGCCCAATGGATTCAGATATTACATTAAACCATAATTTAATTTGTTTGGCTTTGGGTTAGTGTGTTGTATAAATGTAATGTAGTTCTTTATTAGTCACTGATCAGAATTCTGCAGATTATAAAGTAAGTGAATAGCTTGTTTCAAATAAAATACAAATCGTATTTTTTAATTATATCGTCAAGATAATCAAAGCAGGATGAGTTTTATAGACAATATCACAAATTTCGCCATTTTCAAGGACATTGAATAAATAAATCAGAATTGTTTCAGTGCTTCACCAAATAAAAAGTTATGTCAGAATGGGTCCTTGTGTCCTTAGACAAATAATATTTAAACCCAGAAAATCATTACTATTTACAAATCTTAGTTAATGTTTTGAACCATGGTTAAAATAAATGATTTCATGTTGCGTGAACCCAATCTAGAGCTGCACTCATCATACTGTAACCAAATTGGGAGTTAAATAAAATGGCAAATGTAGCCATAATTGTGGTTTTTCTATAAGCTAAGATTAAACAAGACTGGTTTGATGCCAATTTAGCCAGTGTACATATGTATATGTGTGCATCTGCGCATGCGATTTAAAATAAATCCAGATTGCTTAGTCCACTTGCATTAGTTTAATTTTCCTCCAAATTGAATCCTGTTTGGGTGAAAGGCAAGGAAGTTCCAACTGTTTTGAGCTCTGGAAAGAACCTCCAGGGAGAATGGGGTAGTCATTCTGTTTATTGTTAGAAAGATTTTTTTTTTCTTTCTGACAATAAACAGAAGGGACATTTGCAGCTATGAGTTTCCAGATAAAACCTAGTCCAATGTGACTTTTATATTAGTATTTTGTTCAGTATTGATGAAATCAAAACCTATTTTACTTTTTGATGCCTCATTGGTTTCAGGGATGCTGAATCCTAAATATGAAACAGAAAATATGATGCGTTTATTTATTGAACTGATTTATAGAGACACAGCAGCACACTTTGAGCTGCCCACAAAGATTAAATCCATCATAACAATATAACTCCATGACACCCCAGTTAAATCAACAGAAGCAGTCCTCAGCTTACAACTATTTGTTTAGTGACCATTCACAGTAACAATGGCACTGAAGAAGGTGTAATATTCAGTTACAACTTTTTGACTGTTTTTCACATTTATGACCGTTGCAACATCCCCATGGTCATGTTGATCAAAATTCAGGGGCTTGGAAACTGGCATGTACATATGACAGTTGCACACTGTCCCAGCATCATGTGATCATCATTTATAACCTTTCCAGCCTTCTTCTGACAAGCAAAGAGGATAAGGGGAAGCCAGATTCACTTAACGGCCATATGATTCACTTAGCTGCAATGATTCACTTAACAACTGTGGCAAAAAAGATAATAAAATGGGGACAACTCACTGAACAACTACCTTGCTTAGCAACGGAAATTTTGAGCTTAACTGTGGTCATAAATCAAAGATTATCTGTAATCCCCCAAACAAAAAGTCAAATCACCAACAGAGCTTGTTCCTAGCCCAAATGCCTGGGGGAATAGACAGATCTACTATGTCTTGTGGAATGCTGACAGGTCACTGCCATTCCAATCTTGGGCTGAAATAGGCATAGCCAAAGACTCCAGAGTCCAATAAGATAACATTGTTTCATAAAACAGACCAGAACCGTGCTAGACTTTGTAGGCCAAGTAGAAATAATGGGAGACCAATTGTCTTGCAAATAGCAT